TCTTAATTTTCATAGAAATCATTTTAGCTGAAAGAATATACGTGAAGTAGAAGAAACCGTTCAGATCCTTAACGGAGCAATCATGGAGGCATACGAATCCAACTATCCCGAGAACAAGTAAACCAAAAATGGTTGCCCATGGTGGAATAGTCACCTGTCACGACTTAGATCCGAGGTTCGTTGACTTTTCACCAAAGCCAAACAAGATGGAGAATGGCAGGGCTATACCGAAAGGCTGACTGAGTACAACGAAGAAATAAGGAAGGCCAAGCGAAAAAACTTCAGAGACTTCTGTGAATCTATCACAGACACACCATCAGCAGCCAAATTATACAAAATGCTGGCGAAATGCAGGGCGCAAAGACCATTGACACTTAAGAAACTAGACGGTAGTTACACAAAAAATGAAGCTGCTCTACTACTGGAAACTCATTTTCCAGGAAGCATACCCAATGATACTGAAGAAAACAAAGGGCGGCCCAGGAAAACCAGGCAAGAAAACTGGGAGGTTGCCCAAGAACTTTTGCACGCCTCAGCGGCTTACTTGGATGATCGACTCGTTCCCACCGTTCAAGGCATCTTTTTAGCCCTCCAAGAAATTCTCAAAGAAGAAGAGAACCGGCTAAGGAACAAACAATGGCTAGAACAGCCAGGACTAGGACAGGCCAAAAATCTACTGGGCTACTTCAACCAAAAAATATCAGAACTGCTGGTCAACCTTAGCAAGAAAAGTCTTAAAACTCTAACCGGGTTTCTCTCGGGATATTGCAGACTTAAGAAACACCTACAGAAGTTGGGGTTAGAAGAAGGTGGCACCTTGTTGTGTCTGTGTACCTGTTCCATTTTACATTTTAGAATCATAACCAGTAATAAAAGTACGGGTATTTATTATAGTACGGGATACGAGGCCTATTTCATCAAATCATTTTACACCGTCTTGGATTAACACATGCAAGACATTTTCATGGGGGTTTTGGGGTTGTAATATAAGATGGAAATTGTCAATTTTTGAGAGGGGTGAAATATCATTTTACACCACTCCATTGTTGATTTATATCAAAGCTTGAATGTAGAATAGCCACTGGATACTGATACAAGATGTCCTGTAGAGGGATAACGGGCTGCAAGACGGATGTCAATGTGTTGTCTCATGAGGGAGTGAAAAATTATTTTACACCACTTCATGCTTATGTCCGCCGAAAGAATCTATGTTAAGAAATGGTATTACATCAGTCCAAGACGTTTTTTCTGGGAAAAAAGTTAAAAAATCCATTTTAATTTTTTCACTGAACTGTTGAGTTATTTACTGAACCGTTCAATGTTTATTCTTTTTTAAATCATACAGATGAAAAAGGACAGTTGACATAGCAGCTCAACAGGGGAGTCTGTTGAATACAGGAATTATAATTTTTGTTTACAATTTCAGACAGATCATTTGTTGTGTCATTTTCACATTTTTTTGCTGCTTTAAAATGAAATTCTTCAAATTTAATGCTTACAATGTTATGTGCACAAAACATGTTATGTGTCATGGGATATCCACCTCAAAGAGAACCTAAATGATTAAAAGCCGTCAAAAATAAAACAATTTTCAAACTTTTTTTATTTGATGTCCGTAGAAACATTCATATATACATATTTTTAGGAGAATTTCGCAAAATAGAATTATTCTACGTGGTGAAGAGCAAAACTATTTAAAATTAATGTGCATAATTTGTAATTTGAAGTAGTATTCACCTTTGTACCTGATAGATTGACCCTTGTCAAAATTAGTCAACTTCATCATCGTCTTGCAGTCCTTTCTTCCCATTTAGAATGTCTTGTATTTTTAAAAATGTTATCAATGTGTTCTATTTTTCCCATAAGTACCAGTGCAAGACGGTGTAAAATGATTTCTCCCTCCCTCATAAGACAACACATTGACCTCTGTCTTGCAGCCCATTATCCCCTCACAGTACGTCTTGCATCAGTATCCAATGGCTATTCTACATTCAAGCTTTAATCTAAATCAACAATTGAGTGGTGTGAAATGATATTTCACCCCTCTGAAAAATTGACAATTTCTATCTAATATTACAACCCGAAAACCCCCAGGAAAATGTCTTGCATAGGGTATTCTAATTTTGTTTGTGTACAAATTAACTTAATAAGTAAATGCAAGACGGTGTGAAATTGTATATTTTCCTGGATTATGACGACATTTTCTCAAACATTTTTATCAGCTAAATTCCCCACTCCCATATATTTTACTGCGCAAGTGCGTTTCAGCATCATGTTATCTAACTGATGATAACAATGCAAGACGGTGTAAAATGATTTGATGTAATAGGCCTCGTATCCCGTACTATTAAGGTTTTGCTGGGATGATTATTGTAGTGTCTATTGAGGACATGATGTCATTAATCTGTGGATGTCATTATGATTGTCATAAAATATAGATTTTCAATAAAAGTAATTATCCAAACTCTGCATTTGTGAGTATAGGATTTTCACGTTATATTCAGGATGACGTCACATTTAGTAAATTTCTGCTGCAAATCTAACAAAACTAAAAGTACTTCTTAACGCATTCAAAGTAGGGGAATTTCAGATGTTTCTGGTTGGCAACGGCGCGCGATGTTGCATGATTTAAGTGAACATTTTCAAATACATAATGCGTGTCGATTAATTTCGTTATTTTTAGCTGTCAGTGGTCTTGATAATTCATTATGACATTCTGGTAAATTATAAGAAAACAAATAGGCATTGACAACATTGTCAGTCCTTGTTCTCTGACGTCATTCTAAATATAACGTAAAAAACCTATATATAACTAACAATTGGCGACGAGGATTTTAAGAACCAACAATGCCAAGAAGACGTACAAATGTGGTAAGTGAAGAACCATCATTACAGCTTACTGCCGCCTCATCCACTCTACATACAACTACGCATTCAGTACATACAGTTTTCTCCATTGAAAATTTTGATTCATCAAAGAAATTTGATCGGTGGTTAATGAGGTTAGAAAGTGCATTTACGATTTTTGAAGTTCCTGACATTAAAAAATGCGCTTATTTACTACATTACATGGGACCAGATGCCTACGATATGCTGTGCGATAAAATTTCTCCAAAAAAACCTGATTTGTTAACATATGAAGAAACAGTGGAAATAATGCAGTTACACTTCAATCCTGAACCATTATAGAGATTGCCGAAATCTTCAGATTTTTACAACGAAAACAGCATAACGGGGAGACTGTTCACGAATATGTTACTGTTTTGCGAAAATTAGCAGCAACGTGTAAATTCTAAAACTACCATGAAAAAACAATAAGAAATCAATTTCAAAGTCGGTTACTGGAAATCAAGGATCTTACTTTAGAAAAAACTATTGAAGTTGCTACAAGTGGTTGAGATGTCAACTCGAGATGCTGCCCAACTCCATGGTGGGAGAGTAAATTACAATATGAACCAACTTAAGTTACCAGAGAAGAAGAATATCACGACAGATAAGGATATGTTTCTCAGCAAAATTTTAATAAAAATTCTTTTAAATGTTTTAGGTGCGGTTCAAATGAGCACTTAGCAAACAGATGCAATAAAAAACGCTTATTCTGTAATTTTTGTAAAAATGAGGGATATCTCAGCAAGGTTTGTATGAAAAGAGAAAATACAAGCAATGTTCATGCTAATCAAGTAGAAGTGGAAGAAATTCTCTCATTAGAACATAGTGAATATCAAAACAAATTCATGATCTTGTTGCAAATTAATGATATTAATTTAGAAATAGAAGCTGATAGTGGCGCAGCTGTAAGTATTATGAGTCATACTATGTTTAAAGAATTGTTTCCAACGACAATATTACATTCTACTGATTTAAAACTAGTCAGTTATTGTAAATCCAATATCAAAATCTTGGGATTTGCAGAAGTTGATGTTGAATATAATGACGTTTTCAAAAAGTTAAATCTCTACATAGTTGATCATGAAAAAGAACCACTAATAGGACGTGAGTGGATTAGACAATTGAATATAGAATTTACAGATAATTTACAGAAAATAAATAATTTTGCTAACGCCGATTTAAAAGTTCAAAGTTTAATTGAAAAATATGCCCATCTTTTTCAAGAAGATATAGGTAAAATACGTAATATTCAAGCAAAGCTCAATATTAAACCAGATGCAAAACCGATGTTTTTAAAAGCACGAAAAGTACCGTACTCTCTTATTCCTAAAATTGATAAAGAGCTGGTACTTTTGGAAGAACAAGGGATTTTAATTAAAATTAATAGTTCAGAGTTTGCTACTCCATTAGTGCCCGTTGTTAAGGCAAATGGTAGGGTAAGCTTGTGTGGCGATTTCCGTAGTACTGTTAATCAATGTTTAATTGTTGATCATCATCCTCTTCCTACCATTGATGAACTATTTTCATCCATGGCAGGAGGAGATAAATTTACAAAACTTGATCTAAGTCAAGCATATTTTACAAATGGAGGTTGCACCAGAAGATCAAAAATATTTAGTTTTGAGGACATGATGTCATTATGATTGTCATAAAATATAGATTTTCAATAAAAGTAATTATCCAAAATCTGCATTTGTGAGTATATAACTAACACACCTGCAGATTCTATGAAGACGGAGAAGAGACACCTCACCATCTTCTATTGAACTGCGATGCGGTTAGTCGCTAAAGGATGAAGAACCTGATAAGTGCCCTTATACAGTTGGAAGACATTTCAGCCCTGGAACCACTAGACATCTTAAAATTCCTAAGGGACTTAGGACTGGAGGGGCTACTCTGAGCGGAAGCAGGAAACCCAAACTTAGCAGCAGAAGGAGGGGTACAATAGATCAACCTTAGTCGCGTTGCAACTGACACCTCCAACACACACATACACACAACAAAGGATAACACAGAGATTGTAATCGAAATTTTCTCCCAGAATTTTTTTCTGGCTTTAAACTAAAAAGACTTCACGAATTTTCACCCGAATACTCGAAATAAAAATGCACTTTTTGATTTTCATTCTATTCTCAGATAAATCATAAATATTTTTATATGTATAAAGTACCTACATGTTGGACACAAAAAAAAAGAACGCTTCCTTACAATATAATAACTAAAATAACAAAAGTCACATTATTTATCACAAATTTTGAGCAATCATGTACAGTGTGATTTACTTAGCCCGTGCAGGTAAATTAGATGCTTTCTTTGCTAATCCACCTGCAAACTGAAAAACTTCTAATGCAGGGGCTATGTGAATCAGGGTGTATACTAGGTATCAATTTTTTATTGGAAATGTTTTTTGAATGGTTATTAGAAGTGTCAAAATTATTTATAATAATTACATTTACATACATAGAACTCAAGTAAATTGCACACTAAATATAAATTTAATGGGATTTTAGATTCTTACTGGAAAAAGATAAAACTAAAGTATTGTATACGGATATTTATATATTAATAATTATTCCATAATGGCTTTCATAAAAATCCCGGCAAATATTGCATAAAGAACATAATAATAATGATCCAACATGTAATTTTTCACTTACATTTTTTTAAAAATTCACAATAATGTACCTATATACAATTAACAATAAATACAAATGATTTGTTTATCATTTTAGTCGATTCCTAAGAAGTACAATTATGTACAATTTTTTTTTATCTTTTAGATAATTACCCTAAGAAAAAGACAACATCGATAATATTAACATTTAAAAATCTTATAGCATTATAATCTAAAAACCTTTGATCGGAAATGTTGTACTTATCGGGTTGCTTCAAGGTTTCTAAAGCCTCAACTACACAACCTAAAGGGCCGTATAATCACGGCCCAAATAAGCAAAGCGCAGAATGTCGTCTCATCTCTCGTCGAATCATCCTAGAGCTATTTTTAATGATACATCATTCGAGACTAACTTGTTCTTTTGTCACGCGCACGCCATCTCCTGCTTTGCCGACTTTAAAGCTGAAAATGTAATTTGAAATTTCTCAGAAACTACACAACTAAAACTACAAAAGTAAAAATTATAATTTCTTTCAGCTACACATAGTTTACAGGCAAACTACGATTTAAAAACTAAATAACGTTCCAATATAATATCGAAGACCATGTTAAAAAGTATAAAATTACTGTTCTTATAATTCCAACATAGTCTTGCTATCTTATAAATAATTTTTATTACTAAAAATTCAACAAAATGCATGAACTACACGGATTTTAGTTTTCAAAATGATGATTCCAGTAACATCAGATTTTATTATATGGAAAACAGTTTGAATGAGATCTTCAATTTGACAAATTAATTTTTTCAACCCGAAAATTGGATTTATAGAAGTATGAAAAACAAGAAAATGATTAGTGATGATAAAATGAAGAAAAAAACAACCAACTGATGAATATGATGACCTTTGATTTTGCACAAAGTTAAAACTTAAAATTAGCAAATCAATCTTGAGGTACTGGCTTGCAGGAGAACACCAGCGATCTCTGCCAATTCCTCCTCTCTTTTTCTGGCAATAATCGTTTGGTCTTCTAAATTATTATCCTTAGCCGGCGGAACTAAAATATTTATAAAGTTTCTCAAATTTGCAATATAAAGTTAATCTATTTATTATTGCTAAACAGGACAAGTCTTAAAACATGAGAAACTATTTGAACGAAGAATGTGAATTTTTAAAATTGCATTTTTGTTGAAAGGACTAAGCTACAATTTGAACCAGGCAAGAACTGTGTGTTTTAAAGATGGGCAAGCAAAAATGTTTCAACTGTAAGGAGCCCTAATAATTGGGCATAATTTTCAAAAAAAAAAAAAAAATTTTGCTTTGCCATCCTGCACTACAAATCTACATGGACAAGAAGAAAATCAAACTACCTGTTAAATAGAAATCATTCACGAAAGTAAAGATTCAAAAAACATTACCTTCTCGTTCCCTTCTTCTAATTTTCTTCCGTCTACGTTCTACTGTTGCCAATTCGGCCTTGACATCGGCATAAGTTTTTCTCAGTTCTGCCAGTTTCTGTTGTAAAACTGCTATCCTTTGAGTACTATCCAAACTGGGATCTAAAAAAAAGACAAAAATAATTCAAATAAATATTGTCACGGCTCTGGCTTGCGTGACAGAAATCTTGGCTTCGTTTATTCCAAAATCAAATTAACACAACAATAATTTATTCCACGTAACTACAAACTCTGACACTAATTACTTCACTAATTAACTCAAACAACTTAACTCTTTACAACTCTTACAAAATTCGCTATCTAAATCGTATCACAATCAATCTTAAACTTAAAAACTACTAACTAATATTAGCCTTTATATATCCGCAATCTATTCGTGCAAAATCCAAAATAAACGCGATAACCTTTTCCTTCCGCCAGATTTTCGCGACACTGCCCTCCTCTCAAAGCTCCGATCAAATTGGTGCCCATGATATTTCGTCAATATGTCCAAATGTACAACTTTCATCTTACTCCTGGTGTTGCGCTGAACTCGATAAACCAAATCATTAATCCTCTTAATTATTCTGTAAGGTCCTTCCCATGTTGAAGACAATTTCGTCCTTTCTTTCTTACTGGATTATACAACCACACTAAATCACCTTCATGAAATCCAGTTGATTTGGCTTTCATATCAAATCGTGTATTCCCAGAAGTCGTGCCCTTACTTCGTCGGCATAATCCCGAATTTCTTTTCGTTCTTCTTTAGGTATTCCAATCGCTGGGAACCTGAGTTCCCTTCTGAAAACGATTCTAGCTGAACTTTCACCTGTTGGCTCCTGAACAGCTGCTCTGTAAACCATTGAAAGTAGAGGCAAGTGTCTGTCCCAATCTCGCTGGTTCTTTGCGACCACTTTTGTCAGGTGTTCCTCTATGGTCTTATTTAATCGTTCTACCTTGCCATCAGACTGTGGATGTAAAGGTGTTGTCCTTGTCTTACGAATACCCATGATCTCACAAACTTTCTTAAAGATGACAGATTCGAAGTTTCATCCCTGATCTGAATATAACTCTAGTGGCCCACCATGACATGACGACTGAAAACGTCGTCCACTAGCATCTGGGCAATAGTGATGGCTTCTTCATTGAGAATAGCGAAAACTTCTGGCCATTTACTGAAGTAATCCATGATACCCAAGATGTATTTGTTACAATAAGTTAGGATGGTAGGGAGACGCTATAAGTATTATTTCGTAGGGAGATAAACGGCGCACTGGGCGTGGCTAATAGTCATAACAATATGGATGCCAGGCCAGGTCCGGACTGTCTAAGTTTATAAGAATTGATTATACTAAATTTTGAGTAAAAGATTTTTTTCTTTTAATTGAGGACGCATATATTGGGAATGCATTTTTTCAAGTTTGGAACAGAATAATAGGAATTGACGGGATAAAAGCCAGAAACTATTCAAATAAAGAAATAGAGAAATACATTTTTGAAATACTTCCCTGTTTATTGTTATTATTTTGTCTACTAACCTGTGGTATGGTATTCCTGTCGATTTCTTTTTATCAACTGCATGCCTGCTATTGCAGCTACGAAGGGCATATGAAACCATTATTGTCTTTCACTATATTGTTCAAAATATCACACGAAAGTACAAAAGGCAAGTAAAAACCCAAAAACTTCATCAGACAACCAAGTGACAGTTCGTTGACGTAAGGTTCGTATGAATATGGCGGACCTGGATCCGCTTTCGACCACGTGATCGCATCTCCCTACCATCCTAACTCAATGATTTGTTACCACGCTCTGACTCAGGGAACGGTCCGGCTACATCTATCGCTATTCTTTCAAATAGGAGACCGACGTTGTACTGTTTCATGGGTCACCGAGATCTTAGTTTGGGGCGTTTACTGATGGCACAGATATCGCATTTTTGGCACCAGTTTTTAACGTCTTCATGATAGTGAACCCAGTAAAAATGTTCCCGAATTTTGTCCAAAGTCTTGTTAACTCCAAAATGTGCCGCTGAAGTTGCGTCATGTATATACTTTTAATACATCAACTACTCGATCTTTTGGGATAACCAACGTGATCCGAAACAAAATCCAAAGTGGGACGGATTCCTTTTTTTGAAATCACCAATTTTGACAGCTGTCAATGTCAAAAATATGACAAGCAGGTCCAATATCAAAAAAAGGATTCCACCACGCATAATATTTTTTCGAAACATTTCAAGTCGTGTAAAAAAAAAATTTGACAACTATGACTGTCAAACCTAAAAATATGACAAGCGGTGACAGCTGTCGGAAATTTCCGACGCCGATCGGTGGCCAACGTTGAATAATCGTTATGCACCGAGTTTGGTGGTTTTCGCTTGTAAGGTAAAGCGTGGAGAAAGGCAAACGACCTTATTGCATCCAATACCAGTCGCATGATAGCTGGCGTATAGATTTCGGCTCTGCGAACACGTGAAAAATACTAAAAAAATTCCATCTTTAATTTTGACAGCTGTCAACGTCAAAAAAGTGACAAGCGGGTGTGGTAGGATGACAGACGTCATCGGCAATTGAAAGCAATTTAAAAAATGACATATCCAGTCGTTTTTTGAAAATTTGACATGTGTCAAAAAATTACGTTTGGTGCTGTCACTCTGACAGTTTTTGACGTATATCGATGGGAATTTTTATTTAGGGTTTTCGGGGTCGGCGGAACGTTTCTCCGAAATTCGCAAAATAAAAAAAAAAACTTTTTTGACGTTGACAGCTGTCAAATTTTTTCGACACAAACCGATAGTTGGCGACCCGAAACCGCCTTCTACCGGGGTTTGGATGTCGTAGCCTTTATAGTGGAAAAAAGTCGGCCATGTGTCAAATTTAACAGGTGACATCTGTCGATATCGCCAAAGTGTTTTGCGACGAAAGTTATATCCGAACGCATCTTCGAAATTTGACGTATGTCAAAGATGACGTTTCTCCTGTTTCCGCCGTCAGTTTTTGACATATGTCAATGTCAAATTTTTTTTAGGGGGGTTTTTGGGTCCAAGAAAACTTTTCCGACACTCGGATTTTTATTTTTCCGAGAAATGCAAAAATAACTTTTTTGACGTTGAGAGCTGTCAAAAACTTTTGACACCGACAGGTCGGCCACGTTGAATAAACATAACCCACCGAGTTTGAGGCTTCCACCTTGTAAGGTAAAGCGTGGGGAAAGGCCGTTTACCCTATGTAGACAAATTCCGGTCGCATGACAGCTGTCATCAAAATTTCGCCTGCTGTTTCCGAAACGCCTTAAAAAAATCTGGTGCAAGACGGAGCCCTTTTTTGAAATTCCTTCCTCCTGTCAAAAATTTGACATTGACAGGTGGCTAAGTTGGCCATGGAATTTTTAGTGATTTTTCCGAATTCGCCTCGATGTTTTCTATCCGCCTATACAGGGTGTCCCACGGTGGATGGCGTATTAGACGTTTATGGAGAACTGAAAAGCGGATCATTTTGAAAATTTGGCAACCGGGATAAATGACCGTGATCTACACTTTAAAAATATTTTTTTTTATGCGGTGTTGCCGCTTCTACTCTAAACCAGTGGCAACATCGCTATTTTAAATGAAACACCCGGTATTTAATTGCATATTTGGATTCTACATAAAATTCTGAGCAGATTTCATGTGATATACCCTATACCTAAGTTCAACTGTTTTGGAAATATTGACAGTTGAAAATTGACTTTTTGCAACTTTGACAGGCTGTAAAACCTGAACGGTTAATTTTAGAGAAAAACCGATTTTACATTCCTATCTTAGATTTTTATAAACTATCATTTGACACCAATTTTGAATTTAATCCATGATTAAAAATTCCAATTAAATTTAATCTCCGGTTAAATTCAAAGTTGGTGTCAAATGATAGTTTACGAAAATCTAAGATAGGAATGTGAGATCGGTTTTCCTCTGAAATTCACCCTTTAAATCATACAGCCTGTCAAAGTTGCAAAAAGTCAATTTTCAACTGTCAATATTTCCAAAACAGATGAACTTAGGTATAGGGTATATCACATAAAATCTGCTCAGAATTTTACGTAGAATCCAAATATGCAATCACATACAGGGTGTTCCATTTAAAATAGCGATGTCGCCACTGGTTTAGAGTAGAAACGGCAACACCGCATAAACAAAAATATTTTTAAAGTGTAGATTATGGTCGTTTATCCCGGTTCCCAAATTTTCAAATTGATCCGCTTTTTAGTTCTCTATAAACGTCTAATACGCCATCCACCGTGGGACACCCTGTATAAGTTTTATCCGCCGTTTTCGGAGGAATCAGTTGTCTCTTAGTAGATTTTCCATCGCCACTTTCCCATATTTTTTTCAGCAAACCATTTTCTACGGCCAGAGAGTTCCACTGAGCCCACAATGCCTTGTAAATCAAGCTCTTGTTCGACAGTTCCCTACATTCTGGCCTACATAGTATTCCTGTAATTTCTCAATCCATCTAGCAAGCTGTCCTTCGGGAGTTTTCATTTCTAAAAGCCATTTTAAAGCCGCGTGATCTGTTCTAATTAAAAACTTGCGTCCGTAGAGATACTTATGGAAATGGTCGACTGCTTTTACTATGGCAAGCAACTCTCTTCTGGTGACACAATAATTTCGTTCTGGCTTTGATAAGGTTCTGCTGCTACGTCATCTACAGTGAATTTGTGAGAGTACCACTCCAATACTGGTGTTGCTTGCATTTGAGTCCAAAACCAATATGCCCTTCTGATGGGGATAGGACAACACTATTGTACATAATGCTCTTTTCAATTTTCTAAAAGCGGAATAGCATTCTTGGGTCCAATTGAATGTTGATTTTACATCTGTTAATCGATGAAGCGGAGCAGCTATATTATCGAATCCTCCTATAAATCTTCGATAATAAGAACATAGGTAATCCTAGAAAACTTCTTGGTTCATGTTTATCGCGTGGTTTTGGCCAATCCCTGACAGCATCTATCTTTCCTCCCATAACTTGTATGCCATCTTCAGATACCACGTGACCTAAGAATTCCACTTTCTTTTGAAATAGAAAACACTTATTTGGATTGAGTTCTAAGTTGACATTCCAGAAGCGGTCAAAAATTTC